TTTTTTTCGAACAGTAGTGAACTACAACAACAAAAATTATTTTTATATTATTTTAATTAATTGAATTCTTGGCTGACTATACAGCTGTTTCGAGTATTGTCAAATGCCCATCATCAGTGGTCTTGGAAATAATTCTTGTATTTAATTATTCGTAAATAATTATTTTTGAGACTGCAAGTACCAGGAATCGAAACGGGTCCCGCAAAAAATAATAATATTAATATTATTATTAAAGAAAGTACACCTTCAATAATAAATCAAGAAACGAGTTCAATATTTTCTTAACATTAAATTTATTTTCGATATATTCCTTTTTGCTAAAAAGTTTTTATACATTCTAAAAAAGGAATTATATATTTAAAAAAATAAAAACGTACGATGATTCAAAATTCCAAATTCCAGATTCAATTAAATTTTTAAATCCATATCATAGGTGTGGTACCAATTTATAACGTAATTGGACCAATAGTGCTATTGTAATTACTGACGAATTAACTGGTGCGCCGTCATGGTCGGACAAATTTTTATTTTACGAATTTTTCCATAAATATATCATCAAAGCAATTTAAAAGTGTCATATAATATTACCCTATTATTTTTTTGCTTCCTTTCGAGAGACTTCATAACCAATAACATTTATCATATGACCCCAATAAACATATGCTTTGAACTTTCACACTTATGAAACGGTCTTCGCCTGTTTTGAAGCTGGTTCAACTTCTGTTTTGATTGCTTAATCATTGCTGGAATATAGCCATACATTCATACAGTTGTAAATCGATTTGATAAACCCTTTTCGATTATGTTAAAATATTTATAAACTTTCTATCAAAATGATTGCGTGGTGCTTTATAATCCATCGTTAAGAACATTGAATTCAGTTATTATTTTATCTACCTAAAAAAATTTTGGTAAGAGACTCCTTCTTAAATCATCATATTTGGGATCATCATAGTTACTATTTCATCTGCTGAAAGAATAATAAAATGTCTTTAATTTTATTTATACGAAAATAATCTCAATTAAAACGTTAATAAAAATAAATCATACCAAAAATGTATTAGCGTTGACTTTAATAAGGATTCCATAATTCATATGTTAAGGAGTCTGTTGTATTGCAAATCTATAATTTTTATAAAAATCCACTGTTTTATCAATATTGTTAGTCAACTAAATCCAGTATAAACTGAGTACCTACTTCTCCATTCTATAACGTTGCTACAAGTCAATTAATGAATTTTAGATATACATATTATAAATTATTTCCAACTTAAAAACGGAATTACCAAATTTATAAGCCAAAGCACATTTTCAACAATTATTTCAATGTCACTCTACTAATTCGTCACTTTTACCAATTTGGTAGTATGGAACCATAATTTACAGTTTTAAGTAATTATCTTAGTTTGCTAGAAATTAATTTTGGCATCCAATAGAAAGTTATTTCTACTGGATGCCATAACTTTTCTTTATTGAAAAATTTTCAAGTGAAGGTCAAATTGACAATTATAAGTAGGTGCTTATATAAAACACAAAATTGAAACTAAATGAGAATTATGATATGATTTGATTGTGATTTTCATTAGTCATTTCTACTTAATTACACTATAGAGCATTGTAAATATGTATGTATTTTTATGTTTGGAGTTATTTTTCAGTTTCTTATATATGCTACTTAACTAATTTTATACTTTTAGTAATTTTATCAGTATGGGAGCAGAAATACCAAATTTTAGATTTTTGATTAAATCATATGATTTTTATAGATAGGGTATGATAGACAGACTACCACAGGCTTGTATCCCTAAATCGTTTTGTTTAATTAATTTAAATATGTTTATATTAAAATATAGTATACTAAAAACAACGAAGGAAATAAAGGTTAAAATTATAAAACAAAATTATATGTCTATTTGTGGTGCTCCTTCATCAGTACATTAAGAGCATCATAACGATATTATATATATCGTCTATATTAATGATGAAAGGAACTTATGGGCACGGTTGCCACTTGAAAATTGTTTTCTGTACCAAAATTGGTTTAAAAAGGTACCATTTCTGTAAAAAAAGGTCCAAATTTTTTTTGAACCTTTTTGTTTTCTCGTTCTGTGTTTTTCATAGTGTTACAAATGAACAAAATATAAAATAGTGCAAAGTTGCATTAATAAAAAAAATTAATTAGAAATATGCACAATAAAGTTGGTCCGTCAAAAATGTCCCATTTTTTGAACGTGAGTACCAAACGAAAAAAAAAAAAAGAAAAAGTACCAATTTTGGTACTAAAGTACCATAAGTGGCAACCGTGCTTATGGGTATCTTATAAACCTTATGTATGACAAAAAGTTTAATGGACGCTGATAAAATACAACTAACGAAAATAATTTTTGTTAATTTGTGTTTTTACAATTTAACTTTATTCTTATCGGAAGTCAAAAGTTAATCTATTTCTATATTTTTACAAAATGTTAAATACAGTTAATCAAATAAGAATAGCCTACTATTCAATTATGATTATACATTTCCAACATTCTCTTGGACCTAATTTTTGAAACCACTAAAGTAATGTTTAACATGACATTGAATTTTGTTTATTCTAGATTAAAACGAACAGGTTGTCTTCTCCTTCTAACCGACCGTCTTAATTGAACTGGCAACTGATCAGTGTGTGTGGACCCATATCTGTCGTCGGACTCCGCTTTGTCGTCTTTCTCTCTTTGATTTTGTTTCAAGTCAGATCCAGTAGTGATTATTGTTTCATCGGTCCCCATTTTGTCGTCTTTCTCTGCACTTTCTCTTCAACTCCGAATTTACTTCTATTTTGAGTTTTCATAGTCTCCATAACTTTCGGGAACAACGCCGATAAAATGGTTCTTGGTTGCCGCCCATGTAACAACTCTGCTGGCGATTTATCAGTTGCTAAGTTTGGAGTAGTTCTATACGTTGTAAGATATTTATACAACGCTTTGTCAATATGTTGTTCCTCTTTCATAATTTTTGTTACTGCTTCCTTAAAAGTTCTCACATGTCTTTCCGCTAACCCATTCGAAGCCGGATGAAAAGGAGCAGACGTGAGGTGCTGAATTGTGTTCATTTCACAAAACTTTTGAAATTCATTGGACGTGAATTGTGTTCCGTTGTCTGTCACGATAGTGCACGGAAGACCTTCGATAGAAAAAATTTTTTGTAGAGCTCCAACTGTTGTTACAGCTGTTATTGTTGATAGTTCCACAATATATGGAAATTTTGAATATGCATCCACAACTATGAGCCACATACGTTTAAAGAATGGACCCGCGAAATCCAAATGAACTCTTTCCCACGGCCTACTAGGTTCTGGCCATGCAGAAAATTCTCGCTTTGGTTGACTTGCACCTTGTTGACAAGATGAACAATCATCATGAATACGTTCTATGGCTTTATCAATAAGAGGAAACCACACATATCGTCTTGCCATCTGTTTCATACGACCTTTACCCCAATGACCCTCGTGTAACAAATTTAATACTTGAGATTGCAGTGCTTTCGGTAGCACCACTCTAGTATATTCAGCCTGAAGAAGTAACACTCCATTCTGAAATGATAAGCAAAATCTGCGATTAAAGTACGGTTTGATACTACCTTCAGATTTCGGCAATTGTTCAGGCCAGCCATCTTGTACATATCTGCTGACACGTTGAAGAGTGTTGTCATTAGCAGTCATATCCTTTACTAATGTTGCATTTACTGGAAGATAATCCACAGCATTTTGATGAACAGTATCGACATCATCTAACATCACAACTTCCTTTCTATCAAATTGTATGTCATCCCCACACGGCAATCTGGAAAGAGCATCAGCGTTAGCATTCTGAGATGAACTTTTGAACCGTATAATGTATTCATATGCTTGAAGTACAATAGCCCAACGCTGTAAACGATGCAACGCCATCACTGGCAACTTTCTACTCGGATTAAACAGTGTTGTCAACGCTTGATGATCAGTTATTAATTCAAAACGTCTTCCATAAAGATATTGATGAAACTTGGTCACTCCATAAATTATTGCTAATGCCTCTTTTTCGATTTGAGAATAGCGTTCTTGGCTGCTGTTTAATTTTTTTTGAAGCATAAGCGATTGGCTTCTCTGAACCATCAGCATAACGATGTGAAATTACTGCGCCGATTCCATACTTAGAAGCATCTACTGCTAACACTATAGGCTTCTTATCATCATAATGAACGAGTTCCGTAGCTTTGATCATAGCATTCTTCAATGCTTGAAAAGCATCTTCATGATATGCTGTCCATTTAAACACAGCATTCTTTTTCCTTAGTTCATTTAAAGGAGCAGCTAATATGGAAAACTGTTTAATGAATTTGTTATAATAATTAACTTTTCCAATGAAAGCTTCAACTTCTTGAATATTACGAGGACGCGGCATTAATTTGATTGCCTCTACACGTTTTCCTGTGGGCATTAATCCATTCACATTGATTACGTGTCCAACATAATCTACCTGCTCTTGCGCAAAACTACATTTTTCGCTTTTACATGTCAAGCCGTATTCTTCCAAACGTTGAAAAATTTTGAAAACATTATTCAAATGTTCTTTATTATTTCGACCTGTTACGATTATATCATCTAAATAAACTGCACAGTTCGGTATTCCAGCGGTTACTTCTTCCATAAGACGTTGAAATATGCCAGGAGCACTGGCAATACCGAATGGCAATCGTTGAAACTGGAACAAACCAAATGGCGTATTAATGACTAGAAGTTCTTTTGTTGCGTCAGACAATTCTACTTGCAAGTACGCTTCACTAAGATCAATTTTTGTGAAAAATTGTCCTCCTTGAAGTTTATAAAAAAGTTCCTCAACTCTAGGAATTGGATACCTGTCAATCTCAATTTGCGAGTTCACACCAATTCTGAAATCTGCACAAATACGTAATTTTCCATTTGGCTTTGACACTACAACTATAGGAGCGGCCCAGACGCTGCTTCTGATAGCTTTCAAAACTCCAATATTTACCAACCGATCAATTTCGATGCGAACGTCTTCTATTTTCGCAAACGGCAGGTTGTATGGTTTAAAGAATTTAGGCTTAGCATCTGACTTCAATCTGATTTCAGCTTTGAACAACGTACAACGCCCCAATTTCGAAGAAAAAATGTTAGCATGTTGACATCTGAGTTCATGTAGAGATGCGGTTAAACTTTGTTGACTGTCACAAGGATTATTTGCATAACATTCAATAACAGGTAACTGCAGTTTGAAATTTAATACTGTAAACAAATCCAATCCCAGTATGTTAGTAACATATTCATCGTTAACTACAAGTATCTCAAGGCTTCGAGTAATATTTCCATACTTGACATTTACTCTGAGAGAACCCTTAAGAAAAATAACAGCTCCTCCATACGCTCTCAGAACTTTATTCGTAGGCCCACAACTAGGTCTACCCAGTTGTTTATATGCCGCCAAACCAATTAAGAAACATGTTGCACCAGTATCTACTTGAAATGTTAAAATTTCGTTATTTATATTGAGGTCAACGAAAATTTTAGATGAACTAAGTTGCGAATCAACTGATTTAACTTCCGTTGCTTCATTCGCATTAATTGACTCAAATGAAACATCACTCATAGAATATACATCTCTTGCTCTATTTTGTTCCTGTCTTCGAACCTTAAAATTAGAATTCTGCTGAATACCTGTCACTGCTGATTGACAAACTGCAGCAATATGACCTTGCTTTGTACATAACCGACACTTTGTTTTGTTCTTGTAATGATAACATTGATTTCTTTGATGTGCTTTCCCACAAGCTGGACACGATTGTCCTCCCTTCACTGAATTTCGGGACTTAATATTACTTCGATTCTGTTTAACTTTCTTACTTGAACTGTGATTAACTTCATTAACTGTTTGACTGATATCTTCACCTCTAATTTCGTTACAAGTTTTAACCGTTGCTTCATATATTGCTGCTATCTGCAGTACTTCCTCTAGCGATGGGTTTGTTTTCTGCAACGCGGCACTACGGACTTTATCGTGTGGTGTGTGTATCACAACCATATCTCGTATAAAATTATCTGTAAACGATTGCTGGCAAGTTTCACTAGTACATAGGAACATGCACTCTTTAGCCGCACCACGCAGTTCTGCCACCCACTCAGCATATGATTGATTTGCTTTCATTCGTATTAAATGAAATTTAAAACGTGCTGCTAATATATGCTGTTTTTCCGCAAAATGATTATCCAATTTTGCTAGTAGTTCACCAAAAGACTTATTCTCTATATTATTGTCACATAACTTTTGAATAAGTTCAAAGGTCTCTGTACCTATCCACGAAAGGAAACATGCGCGTTTTAATACATCGTCTTTCACTTGATGTGCCACAAAATGTTGATGCATCTGCTGAATATATATCGACCACTTTTCAACATTTTTCTCAAACCGTCGAAAGGTTGGAGTTGAATCGGATTTTTTCCCGTTAATTACGCTTCTCAATACTTCTTCATTTTTGTTTAATATTTTCTCAAAAAATTCTTGATTTGCTAATGAGAACTCTCTTAGAACTGTCGCGAGTGCCTGAGCATCCATTTCCTCGTCGCCAACTGTTAATTTGTGTTTTTACAATTTAACTTTATTCTTATCGGAAGTCAAAAGTTAATCTATTTCTATATTTTATATCAACTTATCCTTCATGTTGCATCTACCAGCATCAGTATATTTACTTTTTAACACTTGAACTGAATGAGAATTATAATAAATCTCCTATATTTCTACTGGTTCCCATTACAAAGTATTATAAGTCAAAAATTTTTATAATATACAAATTGTCTAGGGAATGTTCAATATAGTTCAGAGAAGATTGCTTCATCCAAGAAACGAAAAATATTGTCCATTCTCAATATATACTGAAGCACAAGAACTTAATTTTTGTACTTATTGGCATTAGAGAGTTTATGAGTTTGCACAACGGCATGTTTGTTGGAGTGAAATGTTCACAAAATAATAAAGTATTAATATAAAATTAACTAAAAGAAAAACTAACTAAAAGTTTTTTAAGAATTATGTGAAATAAAGTATTAGTGTTGCTGTTAAGCTAGACTTACTTTGTATAGGGACAAAGAAGCTTTATTAAATTTTTAGAAGGGTTTTAGAAGGGTTTGTGAAATATTAAAAAATATTCCAAAAAATCAATTTCGAATCATCATATTTCCACATCCAATAGTGCATGTAAGTAATGAATGTAAACTAATTAAAACTTATTAATGTAATGGATAACTAATTAAACGATAATTAAGGAACTAAAAAGGACTGTGCTATTTAAAAAAGCAATTTTTTCGATATATAATAATTATTTGGTTAAAATTTTTTTTGTTAGTTAGACTTTTTCCATGACGGTGTATCTTGATAAATGCTTAAAATGAAATGTTAAAGAAGGTTTAGTTTTAAAATGGTTACCACCACGAAGTTCATCATTCTACTAATTTATACTGCCTATTCTTATACTCTCTCTTCTACTACTTAAACTACTCTCTTCTCTCGCTATTTAGGGAATCTCAAAATTGTAATAGATAGTGTTTGCTTTGATATAGATATAATTTTTTTATTTGTTTATTATTAAAAGATAATTACTGAAAACTTAAAAAAAAAATGTTTTATTATATATTTATTATTTAAAAAATGAAAAATGCAGAGTATCGGATAATTATAAATTGTAGTTCCTTATTAGTTAAACGATGTAGCTCACTACAGCAACAACAAAAATAATATTTATATTATTTTTAATTAATTAAATTCTTGACTGACCATACAGCTGTTTCGAGTATTGCCAAATACCAATCATCAGTTGTCTTGAAAATAATTCGTGTATTTAAATAATTTTTTGACACTGCAAGTACCAGGCATGGATCTTGCGCCCTACCAAATTTAAAGCTCAGAGTCAGCGGTCTTTAACCAACTGACCGAAAGTCGTACTTGACTTTTATGTTTGCACATTTTTTTGGAATTTTGTTAATTTGCTGTAAAAGTATTATTAACAAATTCACTTGCTGTGTTTATATTACAACGAATTCATAAATCAGCTGTAGAATAATTATATTAAATAATTATATATATATTTTTATTTTTAATACTATTCTTTTGTTGAGGCATTATTTATTAAATGAGTTTATTTCATTATTTTTATTTTTGTTAAAATAATATTTTTTTTTAGTTAATTACAGTATTTAAATATAAGTTAGTTACTTTAATTTTGGTTTAATATCTTTCACAGAATTTCTAAGAAATTAGGCTAATGATCGAAATGTAGACATAGCTACAGATGTGCATTGAATAATGCATATTCCTGATTTCTCACAGAGATATAAAATTTGTGACATTAAATTGGGGTCTAGAGAGCAATAGCCCCCGAAAGTAAAATACTATCCGCATAGCTATGTCAAACAGCCCCCGTTGATTGATTGTTTCGCGCAGATGAAAGTTATAGATAATAATAATATAACCGCGAAGTCAGGGTATATTTTGTTGTAATTCAAAAAATAATTGTTTGGTCAAGTTCGAAGGACCTAGCAGTCCAGGTCCTGATTCTTAATTAACTTCTAAATTAATTTCGATGTTAACTCACAAATAAATAAATAAATTGTTTGAACAGGTTTCTGATTACACCTGTTACATTTCTGGTGTAGTAGCACTAAAAAAACCCACGTAGTTTGAGAGCTCAATGGAAACTAAAACAGCTTTATTAAGATAACTCATTTTACATATTCATAGCATAATACATACAAAGATATTCCTAATAATACGTATACAAAACAAGAGAGGAGAGATAAATATATAACACCCATTATAAATTTCAGATAGTTTTAATTTACGATAATATTTATGCATAACATAAATCTGTAAATAAAATAATACAATATTATATAATACA